AATTCGAAGAGCAATGAATTACAAATTGCTATGCTTGAAAACAAGGTTGTGAACTTGCCGTAGTTCCTTCTTACGGCTGGTAAAAGAAGATTACTGTTCTGGGAAAACCGGGTATTATTGCTATTAGTTAAATGATTATGATCAATGCATGCAATTGCAATATCATGTGTGATAAGCCTATAGGCTACTATGGAGAATCTGTGGTAAAATAATTGTCCTAATGATAGTATGTTAAGCTTTGAAAACAATGAGCTACCGAAAGAATAAAATGGTCTAAAAATCATTAGTCTAATCGCTTGACTCTGCAGTCGTTCAATGTGCGTGATGTAAGTGTTGGCCCAAGATGATACACAATACGATATATGACTGTGAATGTAGGCAGAATACAAAAAACGTATGACATGAGGTGGAAAATACGTACATGTCTTGATGATAACATTAATTCCAACGCAATCTTTTTGCACTAGCCTTACTTCCCTGTGCTCCCTGTCAGAAACATATTTATAGTGCCATGTGTTTAATTTGTTATTAATGTTTTCTCTTTTATCATAATTTTTAGCTGTATGGGTGGCATAAAGGGCAAATTTAGAAGAGGGGGACGTGGGAATAGAGGCTAGCCCGCTACGTTTGCGTGGGCTTTCTTGCCTATTTCTGTCATTCTCATGTCGCGACATGAGACTTTAGGTACTCACCATTTTGTGTTTTGTTTGGAAGTAAACCAACATTGCCGTTAGATACCTTCCTGCAAGTCTGCACAAACTGCTGCACAGTCTACCTCCCAATACAGACGCGGCACTATTGCCCACACTGACCACACCCATCAGCTTGCCTGCAGCAGATTAAAAGCTTTCCAAGGAAACACAGAAGAATTATTACTGTAAGCGACATCACGACGAACAATTTCCGATTGGTTTCCTTGTTCTTCGTTGGTCCCCCCAAGCGACATGCAGGCCGTTCCAAGAAGCTTCTTCTCATTTCGTGGGCCCATACCTTGTGCTCCGTAGAGTGACAGGCATTGCATACGAAATTTTTCCTGATGATCCTTCAACCTCCTCTGCTCTGTAGTCCCGTGACGTTGTCCATGTATCAAGGCTCCAGTTTTACCACCACCCTCCTCCTGTTGTGGCCCCATAGACGTGCCGCACTTTTGCCGCCGGGCGTTGTGTTGCGTGGTTTCGGCTGACGGTAACAAGGCATTGTGGGACCTACCCTGAACTGGTCTCAGACTACAAGTGATAAAGTGTGTGAGCTGTACTTTGGTAATGAGCTGATAGCTGTTATTTCCACGTAACAATATCCCGTGCAGTTCAGTCATACTTAGTTGTTATACTTAGTTGTCATACTTAGTTTCATACTTAGTTTCATACAGTGTCATACTTAGTTTCATGCACAATGTTGGGAGGTTGCTATCACCTTCTGTAAAGTTGTTTGCACCTCATGGCATACAGGTGTCTAGCAGATAGTCCACATTTAAGTTCAACAGCTGTCGAGCAACAGGCAGTGCAGTGGTCGCGTGGGTTCACCATCATCATCATTATTGTTAGCACAGTAGCACTAGCAGTGATGCCCAGCAGCGAGGCTAGATGGCTGCGCAGAAAAAACGAGACTCTCTTGGCGGGTGGCAGCTGGCGTGGATGGTTGTCTTCTGACAGGGTCCCATGCAGTACGACAACCGCGGGTTGTTTCCCTTGGGTAGTGAGCCGAACATCGACTATGACGCCTTCGTGTAACATTGTTTGTTGTTATGTTGATTTAGTGTATTGGAATATCGTATAAGGTCGGTTTAGTGTGTCACTAGTGACATATTTGCATCTACTGATCATATCGACAATGTAAAAGTACTGTTAAAGATGTACACAATGTTTGTTTTGGTTCAATTGCGTCTGATTTGTTCTTGTGTTCTGAGAGATGGCACTCATTTTGACAACCCACAGTGCTCGCATCATTCGTGAACTTGAAACCATGCTTGAATCTTGCGCTATGTGAACAAAATGCATGAATCTTGTTAAGGTGGCATTTGCTTGGAGACCTCATTGCACGACTCTGTTTTTAACAGCAAGGTCATTAATTAAACCATTAAGGTGGTAATGGTGTTGTAGAAAGTTCGCCTCTCCATTGCCAAGTAACCACTGAGCTCAGCATGTGCTTTGCAATGGATAGTCCGTCAAACTGCAAGGGCAAAGCAATGAATGCAGTCGTAACAAATTGTAATGTTATATGAAGTAAGGCTAGCAACTAACTCTTTTGGATCCGATGTCACGTATTACTGCAAAATGCTGAGGTAATAGAATACAGTCGCTCTAGGAAAAAATGCTGCTTTCGCCCGGTCTCTCCACATTGAAAGCGCAGCACGTAAGAGGGTATGCGTTGATGCTTGCTGAAACGCGAGCTACCTATTTACAGCTTGAGCTCCATGCATTTTTTAATGCTTGCTAAAATCGGGTGGATTGTTTCATCACTGCTTGAGCAATCGACTGCAGGTCTAACATGCAGGGGATGCTCTCATGTGTGCCCTCCAAACACCATAGGTGCGTCAGCTTGCTTGATCGCTTCTTCAGCAGTGGTTGTCACCTCCACTGTCACCCCCGCAGGTACAATACATGATGTGCAGGGAGACGTTATCAGTTTAGACTTCTTACTGGACATAACAGCACAAGCTCATTGAGAGCGTCCATATAATTGCCTTCTCAATAATAATGCAGTTTTTACCTGCTATATAAATATTTTCGGGTAAGTTTTGCCTTCAGTCCCTTTTTTATTAATTTTTCACGTTTCTTTTTAAAATTTTCATGCTTAGAATTTCATGCTTTCAAATTTCATGCGTCCATATAAATGCCTTCTCAATAATAATGCAGTTTTCACCTGCTATATAAATATTTTGGGTAAGTTTTGCCTTCAGTTCCTTTTTTAATTTTTCACGTTTCTTTTTCAAATTTTCATGCTGAACTGTGTACAGTTGAACCTGCTGACCTCCGTAATGAACCTCCATCTAACAAATTTCTCGATATAAACAAGTTTTTCTATTCCCCGTTGTTACTCCATAGAAGCACATGTATTTGCGAATAGTATGTAACAAAGTAACAGCGGATGACAACATTAATATAACAAATTTTCCCCACGGACAATCTAGGAGTTTTGCCTTAGATTTTGGCTTTTTCGTATGAGCATGCATCTTTTGCGAGTGCCCTGCAACCGACGAAGTGCGAAGCGGCGGCGGCGCACTAGGCGAAAGCAAGCGCTCGTTATTGCACGCAAGTGAGCACGAGGCAGGCGGGTATGCCTGTGTCCCACAAGCTGGCCTTGCCGTCGTTCTTGCCGCCGCGGGAGCATGCGCAGATGTGCCTCCACCCCCCCACCCCCCAACCAAAAAAGAAAATACTTTTGCGTTGGCAGTTCCACGTTTTAGTTAGAGTCACATATGTGGGGCCGCGCTGCATATGGAGGGCTGAGAAGGTGGGGTAGTTGGCAATTCATAAAGCGCTCATGCTGTGTGCCCCTTCTTTGCTTCATGTGGGTGTGTTTCTCCCACGCTCCCAGTTCGCTCAACCATATGGAGGGCTCTTTACCGAATAGTTTTTCACAGTGTCTGTGTCCCTGTTGTTCGCTCTTTGTTTTCGTCGCTGTGCACGCATGCATGGTTTTACTGCGCATACATGGTTTGGCCCCCGACGGCATGCAGCATTGCTTTTTTTTTTTAATGCGGACAACTATTTCGTTATCACCGAGGGGATGTCAGATTAGGCGCTGATGGAAAATCTGCGTGATCACGGTGACAATGGATCTTCGGAAGGCCTTCTCGGTCACGCGCTTCCAATTTGCGCTGCGCCAGAAGTTCGCAGGCTTGTATTAGTGCCAGCTCATCCTCTGCAATTTGTCTTCTCGGCTCGGGTCGCGTTCCATAAACTTTTCTCTGACCAATCTCTTGCGTTTACATGGCTGGTGCACCTGCACTCAGGTGACTCTCCTCTCCTCATGCACTGCCACATGCCGCGCCTCCGCGATCGGCATGTGTCTGGTGCCTTTCGTTTACTCATCACATCGACTTTCAACATCAAGTCAGGATTATGAAGCTTTTCTCAAGTGACAAAAGCATGCTCATAGCCGCCGATGCAATGAATGAGTTTCTCATTTGCGCCACTATCAAAACACTTTTTCGGAGCAGTAGAAAGTTTCCTAAAAATCGACCGGATTACGTGTCCATTTGTAAGTCTGCAATGGATAGGCACACTTGTACCCTGACTGGTGCTCCCTTATTTTTCCTTTCTTTTTTTCAACCTCCCTCGCCCTGTCCACCATTGCAGGGTAGCAAACCAGACATGTATCTAGTATAACCTTACCGCCTTTCATTTCTTCCCTACCTCCTCATATGTGAAGAAATGATTGTCCTTTATTGTTTGTATTTCTAGTAAACTTGCTTTTGATACACATTGTGATCACTCTTGGCTTACTTGTGCGAGGAGTGATGAATTAAGTGCTGCGGATACCGACACATTGAATTATCGAGCTTTCCCCCGCAGAAATACACAGGTACTAGGCCTCAGTTCAGATTCATTAGTAAGTTTGAATTAACCGAGTGTGTCAAATGAACTTGCTTTTATGGTTCTGCTGCATGTGCATTTTTACAGGGAATACGAGACGGGAGGGAAACTGTCATACTCAAGGCATTTTTAAATGCCTCCTAATTTGGTATTGAGGCTGTCAGCATCACTCAATGATTATGTCTTGAGATCAATATTCTTGACTTTGCAGCAATAAGAATAATGGGGTCCATGACCAACTCGCATGTGAAATAATAAAGAGACGTAGTAATTCATGAACATGGCCATATACACGTTATGAACATGGGAACATATTTTATTGAACATCTGACATCTTAGAGTATCCACCAAGTTCTTTTGTTAACAAGGTATAAATTTGCATGGGGTCTTACAGAAATGCATCCTCATCATAATGAATTCCGCTTTTGTGATGCCATTAGAAGCAAAGTCTTCTCTCCACAGCTGCTGGGTTATCTGCAGGTCGCTTCTCCCGTTTTCACGTGACCCCTGTGCGTGATGACCCTCTCCTTGGGAGTTCAATGAGCCTGCCGTCGACGCCATCATCATCTTTCACCCTGACCCCAGCACCTACCACTGCTCCCTCGGTCATCGCCATCGAGGCACCCACTGTTGCCACAACGGCCACCTCACCCATTCCACCGATGCCTCCAGCATCGACGACCACGTGCGAAACGACGGTTGGCAACCATGTCGAAACGGAAGTGACTCGTGGTGGCTATGTGGTAAGCACAGCCACTCAAACCAGCAGCACCGAGATGAAAGCACCACCACCTGCGCCAGTGAGCTGTGGTCGCTTCCAAGTGACCACCGTGGTGGACGATGTGGCTGCCGCCACTGGGGGTGGTCTGGTGCCAGCCAAGCAACTTAAACCATCACCGCTTGTTGACCAGCGTACCAAGGTGAGCCAGCACTGTTCTTGAACCAAGCATCAATTGCGAGATCGCCCTTTATTGTTCAGACATGCTTGATGCCGTGGGAAGCATTACCATGTGTTCATACTGATGTGAAAGGGCAGTGCCAAAAAAGGGTTCAAAGGTCGAGCATATCTTTTCCTTTCTACTACCTTGTTATATCAGAATGAATTCAAACCTGTTGTTCAGCACTACAACGTGCCGTACACAGTCTCTGTAGAAGTAAATGTTGGCCTTCCTACTCTGATTTCATGTTCAAGTTGGCGTTCATCTATGTCATCATCACTGCCACATTGAATATCAGTGATAGGAAATGCAGCTAGCAAAAAACTACACGAAGACAGCGAAGAACAACCACACAGGACAACTGCTGGACATAAACTTAATATTTATTGAGAAATTTCACACACCCCCAACACATGAAACAGAAGCGCATGCATAAAAAAGGCCATCTGAGCCATATCAAATTTGTGCACCTAAACGTAAAGAGCATCAACGTGTGAAACAAGGATAAAATTGAATGCCTAGGTTACCAGCTTTATAGAAACGCAAATTCTTTCTCCTTGAGTAAAACTGAGGGTTCGATCACACATGACTAATTTGCCCTGCTTCCTGATTTCGAAAGCTTTCACATTCATTCTTGTTTCTACCTTTGCCAATTACAATTGCTGATTTGAAGTCTGGGACGCAGCTGCAGCTTTTGCAATGCAGAGGCAAGTTTTCACCAGTGCCTGTGGGGAAGAGATAGTAGTGTTCACGCAGCCTGTTCTTCAGGCATCGGCCCGTCTGGCCGATATAGACATCGGCCACATGACAAGAAAATTCGGTATACTACCAAAACAGCACATTTCGTAAATACGTTCGCATGCTTCTTTCCGCAAACGCTGCTCGAATAATTTTCTTGCATAACTATGCACTTATAATAGAGCCTGGAGAGCTTGCACGGTGCAGACAACACGAGGCTGACGCCATTCCTTGTGGCTACCCTTTTTTGATGTGTGATATTCTATGCAAATAGGGCATCACCGCATTGTTACATGTTTTTGGTACACCATCTGCCGAGTCATCTGTATTCCTAGTTTTTCATTTCAGTTTTTAGATGGATGATTCCACCACTAAAAGCAGCAGGAATATTCGATTACCTGCGGACTTTATTCTGGCTACTTGCTCCTGGAGAACAAAGTGCACTGAATGTACACAGCTCTTTTTCTAAAGAGTTCACAAGGCACAAAGAAAGAATACTTCTCTTCACAAGCTTTGAATGGCATGACTCAAATGGGAGTAAAGCTTCTTTTGTCCTCGGTGTGTAAAGCCAACAGGCATGACCATCACCTTTAAAGTCTACCACTAGGTCAAGAAAGCGACTAGAGTTATCTTTGCAAAGTTCGTAAGTGAGCTTCAAGTCTTGAGAACATGCGGCAAAGCTTGTTGACGTTTCTGTAGCAAGAGATTCGAAGTTATCGCCTTCATTAGTGTTAAAAAGTACCGGTATTTACTCGCGTAATGTATGCACTTTCTTGCTCGAAAAACCTGAGCAAAGTTGGGGGGTTCATTTATTATGCGGTGTAAAAAAAAAACTTAGGTCACTTAGCCTTTCGCTATTGACATACGCATACACTGTTTAGAAACAGCTTCTTTCTTGCACTTTAACTTAACTTTGGTGGTTGATGGCGCTGTCTTCTGCAAGCTGTCTCTATGCTGCCTGCGCACGCCATAAAGGCATTTTGCGGCTATCTTTTCTCGCAATCATTTAACCACAGCTGTGGTATCTGATGTGATCTCGAGGGGCACCCAAAAGCGTGCGCTACGATGCTACAATGCTACGACACAGTTTGCCAACTTCGCAGCAACCTCGCCTGACGACCGTGACGACGCTGTTAACATAGTAGCAAGTAACCAACGTTGCAGCAAGCTACCCTCGAAGCATCGAAACAAACCATCTATAACTAGATTAACAACAAAATACGGTCGCCGCCTCGCTTCCACATGAGAAGTTCCTGTATGCCCGCATAATAAGTGAAGCGAGAATTGGGGGTGCTACTATGTTATAAAAATCGTCACGATCTTTTCTGGATAAGTGATTTTTTATGGTTTTCAGAAACCTGTGACGCGAGAGCATCGAATGACCCTTGGCGACAGAAGATCCTGTCTTCCTCACTCTAAAATCGCATGCACGTGGTGGGCTTTTTTGTATTCACTGAAAGTGATCGTCGGTTGGCGCGAGCAGTTTCGTCACCTTCGCTCGCTGTGTGCTTCTTAGTTGCAATTTCTCTACACTCGCACCGTTTGTGAACCTTGCTGTGGTGCACAAACAAAAAAGGCTGGGGACGTGCCGCGCAGAGATAAAAAAAAACAATACGGCCTGTGACAACGGACGAGGGGGGGGGGGGGGAGGGAGCAGGCCGAGGTGGCCGAGGGGGGTCGGCAAAATAATAAAAAAAAAAAAACAGAAGTGATCCAACGGGCAAGGAGGCGCCGGATGTGGGTTAGGGGGACTGCAGCGGATGAATGTAGGGGGTGCGTTTATTAGGAGGGGGGGGGGGGGGGGAGAAAAAATCTAAATTTTTATGACTGAAGTTGGGGGTGCGTTTATTCCATTAGTGCAATTGTTAAGCGAGTAAATACAGTACTAAAAGATCGTTAACATAATGAAAAATGTTCACTATCTTGTCATCCCGTAAACTGCTTCTTAGTGCATTGTCTAACCTTGATAAAAAGGTCTGACAAAGCACTGGAGCCACACTTGAGCCTATATACAGCCAAAAGAAGTCTATTTTACGGAACAGAATGAAACAGTTCCTGAATGTCTATAGAAATATTGGTGTACGCACAAAGATTGTTTAAACGCAGCACTTCTAACAATCAAAGAACACTTGACACTAAAAAAATGGTTAATTGAGAAATGGCGGGACTGCTCTTGTTAAGATTTACGAGGCAATCCTTATAGATGTTCAGTGACCAAATATTTAACACGTTTTCATTAACCCAGGAGCCCCATGGTTTAAAATGTGACTGTGGTGCTGCCACGTCCTCATTTTTAGGAGCCCTGCACAACTTGGGCTTTCAGCCTCAGAGGAGTTTTTACCAGTGAAGCTGTTCTTGCCGCACAAATTGCGTAACCATGTTTGGAAACTATCATTCATATTAAAAATGGCAGCATATCCACGGAGTGAATGATGGAGAGTGGGGCGAAGCATTCGTCCGTCCATGCGTCCGGCTGTGTGACCGTCCATACGTCTGTTCGTGCGCCCGCCCCTGCATTCGTTCATGCATCCGCCCCTGCGTCCGTTCATGCGTCCATCCATGCATCTGTCTGTGTGTCCGTTCGTCCATCTATTCAACACTCCAAGTCCCACCATCTCACATCTTTTTATCATATATTCCCCATATAGAAGCACCTGCCATTCAGTGGACATTCCAAGGACTAAACGAGAGGTGGCACATGCACACTTTCTTACGGCTTGCGCTTCGGGTCTACTTACCACCTTCAACCACCTTGAGTTCATGGTATATACTAGTTCACTGTATTCATGGCACTGCGGCCCAATGCTCGCTAAACCTTTCTAAAACCAAGGAGGTTACGCCCAGCGAGTATAACGTAGCAACCTTTTCCTGTCAGATAGTGCTCAATGTACATGCCAGTGGCTGCTAATGTGAAATGAGAGACGGGAGGATTCAGCTTTTAATTTCTTACGGTTTGCGCTTCGTATCTGTTTCCCCCCTTTAACCACCTCGAATTCATTCATGGTATATACTAGTTCATTGTATTCATGACCCTGCGGCTCAATGCTCGCTAAACCTTTCTAAAACTAAGTATAATGTAGCAACCCTTTCTTGTCTGATAGTGCTCAATGTACATGCCAATGGCTGCTAATGGGGATCGCAGCGTGCGCGTTGACTAAAAGTCGAATGCTCCTGTCTCTCATTCCCCATTAGCAGCCATTGGCATGTACATTGAGCACTATTTTTTATTGTTAAACAACGCACAAAAGAAATCTCTCACCAGCACCACCTTGGAGGTCAAATGTTATACCTATTTCGGGTATGTTCCACTGGTGGTTACATACTACGACGGACGCACAAGCCACGCCATAAGGAGCTTCGCCCCTAAAAGGCTGTCTGTGATTTCCAAGCTGCTCAAGGCCTTCTGTGAGAACTTGCTTAACAACTTTTGCCATGAGCCGTCTTTCGTCACTATGGTGGCCAGGCACTGGCGTGGTCACCATGGTTACGGAAGACGTGTCCATGCACTGGAAACGTTGTTATCGGTTGTACAGCCTCATTTGCTTCACATCACTTCCCTTAACACATATATGCCTAGTGTCCTACATGTAGGACGCTGAGAATTTTCATTGTAAATTGAATGTTTTTTTTTGTAAAAAAGCTAGCACTAATTGTCATGTGTTGACGATGCCGTGCCCTTATAACGCGCTAGTGTAGGCGACCGCCAGGCTACCAGTCGGCTCGTGAGCGCAGTCTCAAAATTGTTGTTTCACGTGCCTGAAGCAGAGCACCATGCCGCGAAAGAAAATGCAAGTATTACAGATTCAAAATGTTCGCGATGCTGACAATATTTTTCTGGATTGATTGTCAATTATTGGGTCTGCAGTAAAATTTGTATAACCCTGATGTGCGGTAAAGTTTATTGTTTGTGGTCTCTCAAACATTGGTGTCCTACCTATAGGACGCTAGGCACATGGGGTGTCACGCTGTGTCAACTTGGAACGCGTGCCGCATCATGCCCGTGAAGCTTGTCATAACGCAATTACATGCATATGGATGTATAGTACGTTCATGTAATTACATTATTTGCACTCAGGAGATTCCCTGCAGTTCATGTCACTAAAAAAATATTTGCAGATGCCAACGACATTTGGAGCATATGGACGTTGGCAATGTTGTGCCTTCACTTGCCGGCATTCCGCCGCCCAACAATCATGCTGGTGCAGTTACAGGTCAATAAAGTGGTGATCAAGAAGGCACGCAGAAACAAACAAAAAAGAAGTCTCGAGGCTTTTACAATTACTGATTTGACACTGAATAAAAATCTTGTATGCTGTTGGAAGGACAATAGCACGGTTAACATGATCTCAAATGGTCATGGACTTGAACCGCAGCAAATGGTGAAAAGATACTCAAGATAAAAGCGATCTAAGGACATAGTGGAGCAGCCTTTTTGTTTTTCAAATACAATGCAAACGTGGGCGAGGTTGGCCGACCGAGTCAAAATATTGCAAAGTACCACACTGCCACGAGAAGTATGAAGTGGTAGTCATCACTGCCAACGTATCTCCTTGATGCATGTGTGAACAATGCATTCCAGTTGATCGAAAAGGGAACAGACAAAGCGTACCTGAGAATGTTTCGAAGGGCAGTTACAATGAGGTAAATAAAGAGATATTGCTACAAGCCATTGCGTGGAAGAAGCCTGTCAGTCTCGGCAGGAGGCGCAAAGCTGATTTAAATGCACTGACCACTTAGTCATCCTCCGAGAAAGGCAAACAATGTGTGCTCATAGCCATGGGAAGACCACCATCTGTTGTAAAAAATGTGACATTACAATGCATGCAAAATCTTTCAAATTATACCATTCATTTAAGGAAGCAGTGTGGCACGCGGAACGCGTTCCAAATTGACACAATGCGACACTTATGTGCCTAGCGTCCTATATGTAGGACGGTGCCAAAAACGTTGTCAGAAAACGTTTTCTTGCGAATGAAAGTTTTATTTTATTTTCTGAGAGCTTAGAAGCTATTATTTGAGAATAGAAAATCGTTTTGTTAATATCCTTAAGCTCAGGCATATATGGGTTAAAGAAGTCCTAAAGCACCCCTTGGGCTTGTGTAAAAACACATCCACTGCAATGGACTGCTCAGCCATATATTGTAGCTGTGCGTGCCACGTAAAGGTTACAAGCAGAGTGCAAAGTTGTTGTTTTCTCAGGTGCCCTCTTTCGAGAAGTGACCGCTTCTCACTCTCGTGGTTGGATGGGCGTCTGGCATCAAATGTCACGTTTCGGTCATTCAATGTTTCAAAATATTATTGGACAATAACCGGTGTAAATTATAAGTGCTGTTTGGATCAGATGAGATTGTTCTCATTGACAGTGTGTAACAGCTGTAGTTAAATGAATCGGCTGCAGTATAGGAAACATTTGTTGCATGTTTTCAAAAAGATGACTCACTTCTGGTGGAGGCCAACTGTTGTCTGCTAAACTTCGCATACACGCATAAGTTCGAGTGAACGCGCATGGAAGTTAGCTTGAAAGTTGAATGCAGCTCACATCTGCAGTTACACTGACTTGTTTTTAGACAACATGCGTCAGATGAACATTCTGATCACATAGCAAATGAATTATCTTTTGTTAGCACAGAGAGACAGATATCTAAACAAGGTTATAAAAAGACAGGCCACCGGAATCAGATATATAGAAAAATTGCCACACTCAGTGTTTCAAATGTAGTCTAAATAGCGGGTCAGCTTCTCGTGGCAGTGTGCGTTCACGAGCCGAATTTGAGCCTCGCTTACTTAGTTGTTTTTGTTAGTTGCATGTGTTACTTAGTTGTTGCGTTTGTTGCAGTGCTTGGGTTTTAGTCGATCTGGTCATGAACAAAATTTTCGAAAGCAATTTATAAGCCTGATATGGCCCAAAACATGTGTGCTGTCCGCCCACATCAATGGTGCGGTGTTGCATGCACTCATTTTTTTTATGGCACTGGGACAGCACCATTGGTTTTCCAACAGGGTTGGGCGTAATAAGCGCATGCATCATGCCACCTTGTGAGGAAACGTGAGCGTACTATGTGCTGATTTACGCGATGCCAATGCTGTTGATGCTTCACCAATGGCATTTCGCACAGGGGATGCGCCGCCACAGAATCACACAAAGGAAGCTGCCTGCATTGTTACCAGTTATATTGGCAACATAGGGTACGCCTAGCCTGGCCTTCGAATTCATTTTGCTGAAGAGCTAACAAAAATGCAAGCGATTCCAAATTATTCCAAGGTGTCTTTGACGGAAAGCACAAGGGGCGGTTCATGACCCCTTAAGTGGGCTATGTTAAAGTGAGCACCGGTCTTCATCCGTTTAGAAGCACTTCCCCTATGCAGATGCATGTCTTTGTGTTCATCCAGGCAGAGATCTTGGGATAAGTAGATCCGATGCATATCAGTCCCCCTTCATGAGCAAAACTGGAATCAACTTAGGTTACATGTAATTGTTTTTTGCTCCACTAGCGCAGATGAGCACAGAGGAGGTTTTGTTTAGCAGCTGAGTGAACACACTCTGTTACACATGAGGATCACTTCTTGAGGCATAAGTTTCAACTGTGTCAACTCGTTATGGAGCCCCTATAAATTTTTGCCTTTGCAGTAAGTGGAGATGTGACGAGCCTAGCACCAATGCTGGCATGGAGCGAGTGCAACGGTGTAAGAACTGCACAGAGCTATTGTGGTAGCCTCTGACAAATGTGCCAATATAAACTAGTTGCTAACAGCCCTATCAGAAGAGCATCTAACTTAATGGAGGTATTTGTGGCATAGTACAGTTGTAAGCACACTTCTAGTGGGCACCTAAGTGCACTAAAAAGATGTATTGCTTGCAGGAACGAAAGCAGCTTACTGTCATCACACTTGCCAAACTCGCAACACACATGCACAGTCAGGAGCAGATACATCGGCGTTTCTGCGGCCAATGTGGGCACACTGTAGCTAGAGACCCAGCGGTGGTAGTAAGAAGTGTTCATGAGGGTTTCATATACAAATACAATGACATACAATGAGTGTGGTGTACTGGCATACCATCACAGCTGTTTTATCGCATTTGTATTTTTGAACCACCCAATTTCTCTTAAGGGTAATTCAATGTCTAGGTAGTCCAATAAATCGACACTGTATTTCAAGCCTTTTTAGGACCTCAGGTGCAGTGAGCCTAGCCTGGTCATTCGATCTCATGCTTGAAAATTGATATTGTCTGTATGGACGCCTGGTAGCAGTAGAGCAGTACATTACTATTATGGGCATGCTGTAATGCAGCTGCAATCAAGCAGGTCTGAAAAATCAAAATGTGTCTCAGATTGGTGGGTGACACCCATTTTTTCTTCTTGAGAACTAAAACAGAAACTGTGATGACGCATGGCGTAAAAAAATGTTGCATGAGAGAAGGCTCGTCACACAAGCATTAGTATTGAAGGTTCTTATTGAAATGCCCACCAACCTGTGTTGCACCTCTAGTGGCAGCCCTCGCCTCCTCCACACTCTCGTCACACCCTGCACCCCGAGCGACCAGCTGCACGAGGCCCTCTTGCTGCACATCTCTTCAGTCACGACTCAGCGTGTCAGACGCTGGACGACAGCCCCGACCCCTATGCCACATTCCCATACGGTGCAGACAGGCACTTCGACACCTCCCTTGAGCTTGCCCTAGCCAAGATAATGCGTGGCTACCTGCGTTCTTCCGACTCTGGTGGCGACCTTTCGTCCCTGTCACAAGCCTCTCTGGAGTCACTGCCCCCCCCGGCCAGTGAGGCGGCGTGGAAAGTGCGTGTGCATGTGCGCGATGCCGAGGTGCAGACAGAGCAGCCCGTGCGCAAAAATGCCTGCGTGGGCACCATGTCTCCCCAGTCACGGCGCTTCCTGCTCTCTCTGGAGCCCCCGACACTGGCCAAGGCGCGCAGCCTGTCCTCCCTGAGCCCCAACGAAGGCTGCGAACGCTGTGCAGGCCTGAGCCCCGCTGCGTCCCCACCCTGGAGCTCCTCTCCCTGCGGCTCGCCACCACTTCAGCGCCACAGTGCTCCACGCGCAATCCCAGCGGGTGCCGAGCGAGCACGCGGCACAAGCCTGGTTGACCACGGGCGCAGCCTGTCCTTGAGCCAGTTCTTGGTAAGGGCAGGGCAAACTGCTGGGGCTTCGCTTCTCTCTGCTAGCGGCAATCCTGGGGGCTTTTGCTTCTCGCCTGGTTTGGTGGAGGCTTTCAATGCAAATGGCTTCTTGTGGTACTACGCTGGCACAACTTGTGCACTTGACCTCTTCTGTGCAGGCAGCTCTCACCTCTGACCAGGAACCTGAAGAGCCAGATGACCCAGAAGAATTCCTCAAGCAGCTACTAGCACGGTAAGCGCCTAAAGCCACTGTTTGGCACGCATGTCCTCTCAAAATAGACTAGTAGAACGTAGCATTTAGTCTCATTGAAAACTGGTGGTTACAAATGCTGTGTTCAGTGTTATAATGGTAATCATGTGGACTGCATTATGATAAGACTTATATAAGGCTATATGTGACCATAGAATGAAGCTACAAAGGAAACAGCTGTTCAGAAATATGAATGCCTGGACCATTGAGATCCTGCGGTTTCTCCGAAATATCGGTGATAGCCTACAGGTTCACCTTTTGTGTTCCTGGAGCACTCGGGGAAGCCATCAGCGTCACGGCGACCATGATAAAGCGCACAAGCCCAATTGTTGACGAACCTGGTGAGCGATTGAGATACAAATTATCGTGCGATGCCAACTTTCTTCACAATGCCCACAGGCTGGAATTTGCAGTCATGCAAGAACCACTCATCACACAGGCCTGACAATAGCCGTGACATCATGCATTGTATTGTGTGAAGATGCATATCGAGAAGAAAGCTCACGCAACCTTTTCCACTGCCGAAAGTAGAGTGGGCTGATTCTGCTTAGGATTGCACTGGAAACTGAGGTGTGGCTTTTCATTAGCTTGTGTTATATACCCTGCGGGATGCCTTCTACTAGAGCACTGCACAGGCCAATTTCTGCAGCTCGAGCCCGCCCCGGTGCTTTTAAATACGGCTCGTACCCGGCCCGGGCCAGAAAGGTTTGGGCCCGGCTTGACCTGTTCCAGCTAGTTATACCTTGACCATAAATGAGGCACTGTCCACTCTTGACTTATTGTGAAGATACCTGCCTCACACAAGCTGTATTCTAGTGAGTGTTTTGGGACTCCTTTCAATTTCACATCTTTCACTGGGACACTCTGCATACGTTTGCCCCTAACACTTTTGCAAAAATATATTTAGTGCAATTAAAATATAATTGTAGTCATAGCTGGGACATTCCACGCCAAATGTTCCAGCCATTTTGGCGACCATCTCAAATATATTAAGAAAAAATCGTGCTGACTTACTGCATTGATGAGAGTAAATTGCTAGAATATTTCGGACAGAAAAATTTTTGGTCACGTCAGTGCTTTCTGAGCTTCTTAGAGTGTCGTCTGTGTGTTGATTGGGAAAACATTTATTTTAAAGCTGCCACTCTTTTTTCCGTACAAAATTTAGTATGCATGTTGAGTAAAGGTGATTGTGTATGGGGTTTGAAGCTCAGTAATATCAATGCAATTTTTCTGCCTTATGCACGTCCAAGAATTCAGCCAAAATGTGTTATGTTTGCATTTTTTCTGTTCCAATACTGCACTTTGTATGAATGTCTGAACAATGAATACTTACTTAACAGAAGGTATACTTTGTGAAAAAATATTTTTATACTGCTCAACTTGTCAGAATTTAAACGAAAAAGTTGCAAGTTTCACAAAGTTGGCATTTTTGTTCATATTGAGACATTATTGGCACCATGTGGCAGTCCAGCTAAAGATCACTTTTAGATTTAACTCGACAGCAAATGAACAGTTCTTTTTATGTGGCAAGTTTTGTCATTACATTTTTTTTGTTTTAAGGAAGAAAATAATTTTTGAAGTTTCCCATTGATGACTGACTATTTTTCCATTTGGTCATACCACAGCTTTTGCCTTGAAGTTCCCTTTTGCCATTACGTCACTTGACGACTAAGCAGGTTGTAAGGTGCAGAGCCAATTAGGATGTTTCTGCTCAATTCATTACGCATTTTCATACCGCTGTTTTAATATGCCAAGTGTGTCGCAGTATGATCAATCCAGGGCTTGTATGCTGGCAATGGCTTGAGCAGCGGCTTTGTCAAGAAGCGAGACCAGATAGTGGAACCGATTCACGTTAGACAAGCTCAGGTTATTGTGAGCAGAGTGGCGGAACATGTCCCAAGATGGCTGCCGCCAAGTTAAGCTACCGTCGAAGCGCAAAAGTTCAAGCTTAGGCAACCGTGCGCCTAAGTCACGTTGAGCTCGTGGCGTGTTGGTTGTCGAGGTTGTTGGTGGGTCTCCATCAGCGGTTGTAGGTGGGTGCGCCATCGAAGGGAGTGAGGTAACCTTGAGCCTGCCCATGTGATGCTCGAGCAAGGCTGAAGCACTGGTAGCAGCGTCTTCATATTCTATGACGGAATTTTAGTCTTCTGCCACATACTCGTCTGTCAGGAAGGTTTCCAGCTTGGCGTTCAGCGTGGCTAACTCTGTCGGGACCGCCTTTAACTGACTGTAGACAACGTGATGCGTTGAGAGGTCAAATAGCGTAGAGTGAATTAGCTATTTCGCCACATTGACAATACTCCTACTCTGGGCTTGATGAGGCGCCCACTTGTTTTTGGCATGCTCAATGACAAGTCTTGCAGCAGAAAGACGTCCCTGATCGGAAGCGACAGCTTGGGAATATGAATGCCGGCTTTCCTAGTCTTCAGAACCAAAAATGACTTAGGGAAATCTCTCTGGAGCCTTTATTGGCACTCTGTGCAGTGCCATCCACAACATGGCAACAATTCAAGTTCCTTGAATATGTGGCACACACTCACGCAGGGGGATTAGCCAAGAATCGGATGTGTAGATTCGAACAGTACAAGAACAAACAAGCCTCTGCCCCACTACCCTTCATCATCTGTTCATTTCATGTGGTGCGCAATTTTCTACAGTCTTAAAGCAAGATTATACTCATGGTTTCCAAAACAATTGTCATTTAAAGCGCAGGGAAAGGCTTTTTTATTGCTGCCCGTCGAACGCGGCGAATCGGCTGTCCGGAGGATGATCCCCTGCAGGGTCTGGAAGCAGGAGAGTGGGTTGCCTATAGTCGCCGATGGTCAAAGCCCTCGGTGCGAACAGGGCAGCGAAGTGTGGCTGTGGTTTCAGGCTTTCAGCTCGTGGCAGCAACAATGTAGGAGAAGGAGATGTATAGCAGAAAGGAAGCAGTAACTATGATGGGAAGAAAAGGTGGTGGGTAAACAAGAAGCCGCATGTCCGCTAGAGATGCTTGGACGAGTCAAGTGACAGGCATTCTTGGAATTTATTACAAACATATGGTAATGAAGCAACTATGCTACGCAAGCCAGTTGGTCCTCTGCAAACACCAAGGAAAGATAAGCTAAACACGTGGAAACTGTATACATTAAATTTTTTACAAGAGTAGAGGCTCATGTCTTTAGTTTCGATGTGTGTTACTTATCTGACAATATTCAATAACGGCAGCGATTGGGGGGAACAAGTCTGAACGGATCAAAAATTCCTGAGCTCGGGGTGTCACAGAAGTTGACGAGCATTCATGCAGTAAAAGGTACCAATACACCTGTGCCTATACCCCCCTTCTGTTTCAAGGTGTACAGTGGCAAATCAACATTATAATCATGAGCTTCCTTACATAGAACTTTTACTTTCCCCGCAGAATGCTTCCATGTTTTTGAGCCCCTTGAGAACACTTGCACTTCGGCAAATGAGAATGCTTATGAATTACTTTTGAAATACGAAAAACACGAAGGTGGCCATAAAAACAATTACGGACCATCTCTCCGAAGAGAACCATGATGGGATGCAAAGCAACAGTGGTGCGCACGATGTCGAACAAGCTAAAACGGGCTTCGACGAGGGTGCTACAAGAACGGTTTGAAGCAAAACTTGGTGTACTCGAGTAGCCGTTTCTCTGAAACGCAAATACATGGAGGCGGGTTGGGTTTCTTGTTTCATTGCAGATAAACGAGCCGAAAGTGTTCCCACTCGACGTGCGGTCGAGCATTCCGGGTGGTAGAGAGGGTGAAGTGAGAAAGAAGCGTGTTGCGAGCGTGCGGAGGAGCAGCACCTTCTAGGTGTGTTGGGAGGAGCCGGGAGCTGCTGCGGTTGAGGGAAAGAGTGACGCGAATGCACAGAGGCGACTTGACCTATTTGGCATTGTTCGAACAACTGCGGCAGGGGGAACGCGGTGTGACTGCATTGGCACAAAGACACAGACGGACAGCATTACGCAGGCTAGTTAAAGAGCTGCTTCACATTTAAATAGGCAAAAGTTTGTTCTCTATGATGGGCATTCTTATTAAATGCGAAACATTTTTGACTAATTGCCAAGTGCTAAATATTTGCAACTGCTTTGCTAGCACAAAAAAATAGGCAACATTTGCATTGATTGGTGCACCTGTCATAAGAGTCGCTCCGCTTCTCGCACCAAAGTGCGACAAAAACAGCTCCGGAGATATTAATGACTCACGAGTGGCGTTGCCTAGTGTGCGGAAAACGCAGGTGGAAAAAGACGTGGCAAGCATGCGAGCGTATCTGCATACTCGAAATGCTTCCCTAGATACAAGCGTGCACATCTCATATACATTATATAATGTTAGCAGTGTACTGTTGCTGTTGCAGCATTACCACCGGGCAAACCTTTTTTACGGCATGCAAGAGCGCTTTTCACTTAATGCAATGAAAGGAAACTGATATTTCGAGTTTCTCGAAAAAACCTGCAGCACGCCAACGGAGCAATATGCTAGACATCATGTACTTTTTGATTCCAGGCCTTGCTTATGCACTCCAGGTGGTCTAAGTGAGCCGAAGCCCTCAGCCACAGCATCTTATGTAACCTGGACCGCTTCGAGATGGTAAAACCCACAAAACAAAATAACCAAACAGTGTGGACGCATTATTTATATGATATACAAGGTGTTTCAAGAAATGGGTTCAATACTAATTAAAAATCACAAAAAGAAGGCACCTGCGTCCTACCTGCGACGTTCCCTTTACTTTGGCAAAAGGCATCTTCAGATGTGTGAAAACATTGATTGCGGCAGTTATTGGAAAAATAAACCAGTTGTGGAAATAGCCGCTTGAGTCAGTTTGGGGAATTAAAGTTTTCCTTACGAGTAGTTTATAGCCGGCCATTTTGACATTTCGGAAAGGCGGCCACTGATAATCACCGCGGAGAGGTGAAGTCTGGCTAATTTAGCTGGCCAAATCGAAACCAACGTACCAAACAGCGCATCTGC